ATCTGTATTAAATACTTTTGGCTGGGTGTGGTGGCTCGCACCTGTAATCCTGGCACTTTGGGAGGCCGAGGCGGGTAGGTCACCTGAGGTCAGGAGTTTGAGACCAGCCTGACCAACATGGAGAAACCCCATCTCTACTAAAAATACAAAAATTAGCTAGGTGTGGTGGCAGATGCCTGTAATCCCAGCTACTCAGGAGGCTGAGGCAGGAGAATCGCTTGGACCCTGGAGGTGGAAGTTGCAGTGAGCTGAGATCGTGCCATTGCACTCCAGTCTGGGCAACTGAGCGAGACTCCGTTTCAAAAAAAAAGAAAAGACTTTCATGTTTAAACCAGCATGAATGACTATATAATACAGGGCAAAGGGTTATTTTTTTTTAGCTTGTAGTAATCATTTTAACTTGATATCTCTGGAATTTGTCCCAACCCTGGCACAGACCTGAAAGCACTGACTTTGTTTTCAAAGCTTTTTCAGTTCAAGAGTGCCTCCAAATGGTGAGTAGGTATGAAGACTTCCAGACGCTTCTATTGTTGCCTTTACCCAGAATTCTCTTGCTTCAGTGTTTTTCCCATTTTCATGAGCCCATGTATGAAAAAGGGTAAGGAACTGTGGAGAAGAAAGTTTTTTATTAGCCTTCCTCGGGGTATTCCATGCTCAATCTATCCTTTCTCAGTCCCAAATGGCCTACTGAGCTGAACTGCCTAAGACATAGTCATTCACCAAATATTTAAGTACACATATTTAAAAAGATACAATTCCAGGTGCAATGGGAGACGAGGAAAAAAAGTAAAGTTGTCAGGGCCATCAAGAAGCTTTCACAAGGTGAAGGGAGGGCTGGAGTTTCTCATAACATTGTTACTTAAAGTGTGGTAGTGGGCCAGCAGTATGGGCATCACCTAGGATATTGTTATTAATAAAAATGCATAATTTCAGGCCCTACTCTAGACCTACTGGACCCAAATGTGTGTGTTAGTAAGATCTCCAGGTGATTCTTAGGCACAGAAAAGTTCTAGAAGCACTGGCCTGGAAGTGGGAAAAACTGTGAGAATTCAGGGTAGTTATGCTTTTTCGCATTTTACATAAAATTATCTTGTTGAATTTTCATAATCCAATGAAGTAGGTGCTGTTATTATCCTTATTTGACAAAGTACTTGAGATGAAGCATCTTGCCTGGCTGGCACAAATAGAGATGGAGCCCAGTTTCCAATCTCTTCTGACGGGAAGAATGTCAGAGAGGGACATTTAGTATAAAGGAATAACAGATGGAAAGTTGCAGGTGGTATTTGAAGTACCAAAAATACCACAGTTCTGTAATGTGAGTGAGTGTGAAGGTGAATAGTGGGAAATACAATTTGAAGTGTAGGTGAAAGCCAGGTTATTCGACTCAAACTCCACAGTCATGGTGTTGACATTTCTTCATTTTTGAATATAGAGATGGGAAACTGGTGCATATTTTTTTCTGTGAATAACATGAAAACTACAAAAAAGGCAAGTTTTCTGAAAGAAACTTTTACTTACTCGTTTTTGCTATTTTTTGAGACGAGATCTCATTAAGTTGCCCAGGCTGATCTTGAACTCCTGAGCCCAAGCAGTTCTCCCACCCCAGCCTCCCAAAGTGCTGGAATTGCAAGCATGAACCACTGCACCTGGCCAGAAACTTCTAAAACTCAGAAACGTTGCTCCTCCTCACCTCCTACCCCAAGGTAAACTGTGATACCTCCTGGCTTTATACTACTGATTTTATAGCCTATTATGTAGAACTGTGTCTAGAAAGAGTGGCCTATCCCTCTGTGACCTTGGTCTACTCCTGCAGGAGTGGTTTCTGTGACAGACTGCATTTGGAGGTTTGATTCACTCTGGGGAAGGTAACCAGGATAGGCAAGAGATTTAAAAATCTGTCAACATGTATTTGGCAGGTATAGCCTGAAAAAAAAAGGACCAGAGGCATAGGAAAGCTATCTAAATGGTTAAGAAGCCAAATATTTAGAAAGCATATACCATCTGCTAGCCCCTGGGTGGTAAGTGTTGAACAAGACTCTTCCCTGCATCATAGAGATTTAAGAATCCAACAGGGGACTGGGTGTGGTGACTCATGTCTGTAATCCCAGCACTTTGGGAGGCAGAGGCAGGTGGATATTTGAAGTCAGGAGTTTGAGACCAGCCTGGTCAACATGGTGAAACCCTGTCTCTAGTAAAAATACAAAAATTAGCTGGGCCATGGTGGCGTGCGCGCCTGTAATCCCAGCTACTAGGGAGGCTGAGGCAGGAGAACTGCTTGAATCCAGGAAGCAGAGGTTGCAGTGAGCTGAGATCAGGCCACTGCACTCCAGCGTGGGCAACAGAGTGAGACCCTGTACCCCATCAACCTCCCCCCCTCAAAAAATCCAATAGGGAAGACAGACATTAAAACAGTACAAATAAGTAAAAGTGCTTTTATTTTTAAACAGAGGGAATGGAGGGGCTTGTGAGAAGTGGACCAAAAAAGGACAGCAAAGGCTTCATTGAGGATAATGTTTAAACTGAAACCTAAAGAATCAATAGAAGTTAGCCAGGCAATAACCTGTAGTGCCAGCTACTCGAGAGGCTGAGGTGGGAGGATCACTTGAGCCCAGGAGTTAGAGGCTGTAGTGTGCAATAATCGCACCTGTGAATAGGCACTGAACTCCAACCTGGGGGAGGAGGGGGAAGCCAGGCAAAGAATTCGAGTAATCGTAATCCAATTATGTGCCAAGGCTTTGTGGTTCAACAGCTTGGTGTGTTGGTGACATTGATAAGACTACTATAGCTGGAGTTGAAAGAACAAATGGCAGAGGAAGAGAAGACTTGGTACGCAAGCAGGGACCAGGCATTTTAGTGCCCTGTTAGCCATGTTACAGATTTTGGATTTTGTTTGAAAGGCAATGAAAAGGCCGGGCGCGGTGGCTCACGCCTGTAATCCCAGCACTTTGGGAGGCCGAGGCGGGCGGATCACAAGGTCAGGAGATCGAGACCACGGTGAAACCCCGTCTCTACTAAAAATTACAAAAAAATTAGCCGGGCGCGGTTGTGGGCGCCTGTAGTCCCAGCTACTCGGGAGGCTGAGGCAGGAGAATGGCGTGAACCCGGGAGGCGGAGCTTGCAGTGAGCCGAGATCGCGCCACTGCACTCCAGCCTGGGCTGGGCGACAGAGCGAGACTCCGTCTCAAAAAAAAAAAAAAAAAAAAAAAAGGCAATGAAAAACCTGTAAGAATTTATCAAAGGCTGACTAGGTGCTATTTCTCATGCCTGTAATCCCAGCATTTTAGGAGGGCAAGGTAGGAGGATCACCTGAGATCAGGAATTTGAGACCAGCCTGGCCAACATGGTGAAACCCCGTTTCTACTAAAAATGCAGAGATTAGCCAGGTGTGGCGCGTGCCTAGTCCCAGCCACTCAAGAGGCTGAGGCAGGAGAATAGTTTGAACCCAGGAGGCAGAGGTTGCAGTGAGCCAAGATCGCACCACTGCACTCCAGCTTGGGCAACAGAGCGAGACTCTGTCTCAAAAAAAAAAGAATTTATCAAAGGCTTGAAAGTAGGCATTGCATAAGTCAGTAAGTCCTAATAGGGCATGATGCGACTACTGAGTAGAAGTGACTGACAGATGAGTGGGTGGATGCCACTATTAAAGGTGAACTGAAGGCCAGGCATGGTGGTTCATGCCTGTAATCCCAGCACTGTGGGAGGCCGAGGCAGGTGGATCATGCGGTCAAGAGTTCAAGACCAGCCTAATCAACATGGTGAAACCCCATCTCTACTAAAAATTAAAAAATTAGCCAGGCGTGGTGGCGGGTGACTGTAATCCCAGCTACTAAGGAGGCTGAGCCAGGAGAATCACTTGAACCCAGGAGGCAGAGGTTGCAGTGAGCTGAGATTGCGCCACTGCACTCCAGCCCAGGCGACAAGGTGAGACTCCAAGACTCCGTCTCAGAAAAAAAAAAAAAAGCCCTGTTTATATCCTATTTCCTTGCTGGGTGTGGTGGCTCATGCCTGTAATCCCTGCACTTTGGGAGGCTGAGGTGGGTGGATCACTTGAGGTCAGGAATTCCAGACCAGCCTGGCCAACATGGTGAAACCCCATCTCTACTAAAAATACAACAAATTAGCCAGGCGTGGTGGCGCAAGCCTGTAATCCCAGCTACTCAGGAGGCTGAGGCAGGAGAATCGCTTGAACCTAGGAGGCACAGGTTGCAGGGAGCTAAGATCATGCCACTGCACTCCAGCTTAAAAAAAATAAAAATAAAAAATCCTATCTCCTCACCTTTCCATTCAACCTCAATACACCTCAGCTTTTTTTTATTATGTGAAAATAGCTGCAACAGCTGCTGTCCATGTGATGAATTGTTGGAAATGTAGATCTACACTAAATAAGAGAGAAGCCACTAGCCACATGTGGCTATTTAACTTTTTTTTTAGATGGAGTCTCATTCTGTCACCAAGGCTGGAGCACAACATCAGCTCACTGTAACCTCTGCCTCCCAGGTTTAAGTGATTCTCCTGCTTCAGCCTCCCAAGTAGCTGGGACTACAGGTGTGCACTACCATGTCAGGCTAATTTTTGTATGTTTAGTAGAGACAGCATTTCACCTTGTTGGCCAGGTTGGTCTTGAACTCCTGGGCTCAAGTGATCCACCTGCCTCGGCCTCCCAAAGTGCTGGGATTACAAGCGTGAGCCACCGTGCCTGGCCACATTTAGTTAAAATGCAAAATTCCATCTCTGCTGCACTATTCACATTTCAGCATTAACTAGTGGTTACCATATTGGACATGGCAGATAAAGAACATTTTCATTATTGCAGAAAGTTGTACTGGACAGCACTTTGCTAGAGCCAGAACTAGCCAAAGATCAGATAAAGTAATATGAATGAACTGAAAACCCAGGCCAGTGCATGGGTGGTTTTGAGTAAGATTCACTGGTTGGGTGAGTGGGAAGCAAGCTGACCTTTGGAACAGTGACATCACAAAGCACAGCTCACAATGGCTCCAGAACATGTAGGCTGCCATGCCACTACCCCTAACTGATATCTAGATTCCTGAAGCTTCTGCACATGTAGTTCCTGGAGCTGCTACTTATTAAAATGTCAACATCTTCGTTTTCTAACTGGGACAACCTCTTAGATTCTCTGAGCACAGTATGGAATTGGATACAAGCAAGTTTTTTGGGAGAGACTAGTGCACCTCAGCAAACAAATTTGGGACTATTAGATAATCTTGCTCCGGCTGTGCAAATCATCTTGAGGATTTCTTTCTTGATTTTGTTGGCAATAGGAATATATGCCTTATGGAAACGAAGTATTCGGTCAATTCAGGTTATACTTTTTTGTTACAAACATTTCTATAGTTATAAATTGAAATTTGATTAGTTCTCTCCCATATTGCTGCCACCAGTTTAAAGATCACGCAGATGTACCAAGGCAAACCTTTGTCTCTTAAGTTGGCAGAAAGTAGGTTATCCTTGAAAACCTCCATCAATTAGGCTTTGGGCATAAAAATGCTCTTTCTCACAATGGGTCTTTGGCTTGTCTTCTGTAATAAAATAGACCAAATATGTTTGTAACCTGAAAAGACGGCCTTACCCTCAAAATGTTTTGATCATTTATTCATCTTTGAGTGCTACTATGTTTATAGAATAGGCAACAAAGTATAGCTAGGATCATGAGTATGGCCTTTCTTCCTATGCCATTGTTCTGTAACTGATAAGAAGGCATATGTATGAAGTCATCACAATATGCTCATTATTGTGTTTTAACAAAATAAGGCTCCATAAGTATATAGGAGCTCTTTGGGGAGTAAGAATTTAACTGACTGGGATTGTGAAAGACAGGATTTTACATCTGTGTAGTCATCAGTAATAATAGTTGACATACAATATAGTCGAATGCTTTGAGAATCTCAAAAATTCCATGAAATGGACAGAGGTTATTTTCACATGACAAGTGAAGAAACTGAGGTGCACTGAGGTTTAGTGGAAACTTAGGGTGACAGGCTTTTAAAACGGCTTTCTTAGAGTGGCAAGTTTACTTGATAAATGCAGAGAGAAGTTGTTACTGGATCATTTTTTAGCATTTACTTTTTTTTTTTTTTTTTTTTTTTTTTTTTTTTGAGATGGAGTCTTGCTCTGTAGCCCGGGCTGGAGTGCAGTGGCCGGATCTCAGCTCACTGCAGGCTCCGCCTCCCGGGTTTACGCCATTCTCCTGCCTCAGCCTCCGGAGTAGCTGGGACTACAGGCGCCCGCCACCTCGCCCGGCTAGTTTTTTGTATTTTTAGTAGAGACGGGGTTTCACGGTGTTAGCCAGGATGGTCTCGATCTCCTGACCTCGTGATCCGCCCGTCTCGGCCTCCCAAAGTGCTGGGATTACAGGCTTGAGCCACCGCGCCCGGCCATTTACTTATTTTCATATGTCACTATTGTTTAGTAATTATGGTCACAGGTCCTTTCTATTTTAAACCATCACAATCCTGCATAGTAGTCAGGGCAGATATTATTTTCTCCATTTTGTAGATGAGAGAACTTGATTATCACCCACCCAGGTTCACATAGTTTGTAAGAGCTGGCAAAATTGGAGTTTGAACTGAATTTTTAGGATTTGAAATTCAGTTCTTCTCCAAAATCTCATTTAATGTAAACCAACTGGCCTAAATCTTGAACAGGAATGTGTGTGTATGTGTGTTTGCGCATGCGCACGCATATATATGTGTATTGTGAGGATTACAGGAGATATTATATATATAAATCTTTTTTTTTTTTTTTTTTTTTTTTAGACGGAGTCTCGCTCTGTCACCCAGGCTGGAGTGCAGTGGCCGGATCTCAGCTCACTGCAAGCTCTGTCTCCCGGGTTTACGCCATTCTCCTGCCTCAGCCTCCCGAGTAGCTGGGACTACAGGCGGCCGCCACCTCGCCCGGCTAGTTTTTTGTATTTTTTAGTAGAGACGGGGTTTCACCATGTTAACCAGGATTGTCTCGATCTCCCGACCTTGTGATCCACCGTCTCAGCCTCCCAAAGTGCTGGGATTACAGGCTTGAGCCACCGCGCCCGGCCATATATATAAATCTTAGCACATATATGCAATAAGTGGTGCTACGGTGAAACCCCATCTCTACTTAAAATACAAAAATTAGCCGGGCCTGGTGGTGGCACATGCCTGTAGTCCCAGCTACTCAGGAGGCTGAGGCAAGAGAACTGCTTGAACCCGGGAGGTGGAGGTTGCAGTGAGCCAAGATCGCACCACTGTACTCCAGCCTAGGCGACAGAGACTCTGTCTCAAAAAAAAAAAAAAAAGGGGTGCTAGTTGTTATAAGGAACAAGATGATTTTTTTTCTTATCCTAGCAAGAATCTGTCCTATACATATGCATTTATTTTTCATTTATTTATTTTGAGATGAAGTCTCGCTCTTGTCCCCCAGTCTGGAGTGCAATGGCGCGATCTCGGATCACTGCAACCTTTGCCTCCCAGGTTCAAGCAATTTTCCTGCCTCAGCCTCCTGAGTAGCTGGGATTACAGGCGCGTACCACCATGCCCAGCTAATTTTTTGTATTTTAAGTAGAGACCGGGTTTCACCATGTTGGCCAGGCTGGTCTTGAACTCCTGACCTCAGGTGATCCGCCCACGTCGCCCTCGCAAAGTGCTAGGATTACAGGCATGAGTCACCGTGCCTGGCATATGCTTTTTTTTTTTTAATTTCTTTTTTATGTTTTAGAGACAGTGTCTTGCTCTGTCACCCAGGCTAGAGTGCAGTGGTGTCATCATAGCTCACTGCAGCCTCAAACTCCTGGTCTCAGGTGATCCTCCTGCCTCAGCCTCCTGAGCAGCTGGAACCATAGGCCTGCACCACCAGGCTTGGCTAATTTTTAAAACTTTTTTGTAAAGACAGGGTCTCGCTACATTCGCTATGTTGCTCAGGCTGGTCTTTAACTCCTGGCCTCAAGCAATCCTCCCATCTCAGCCTCTCAAAGTGCTGGATGCAGTGGTTCACACCTAAAATTTATTTTATATAAATAAAATATATATATAAAATTTGTTTAAGAGACAGGGTCTGGCTATGTTGCCCAGGCTGGAGTGCAGTAGCCATTCACAGGTGCCATCATAGCACACTACTCCTGGGCTCAAGTGATCCTCTCACCTCACCCTTCCTAGTAGCTGGGACTACATGTGTGTGCCATTGTACCCAGATCGCTCCTAGTATATATATATATATATATATTTTTTTTTTTTTTTGAGACGGAGTCTTGCTCTGTCACCCAGGCTGGAGTGCAGTGGCGCAATCTGGGCTCACTGCAAGCTCCGCCTCCCAGGTTCACGTCATTCTCCTGCCTCAGCCTCCCGAGTAGCTGGGACTACAGGCACCCGCCACCGCGCCCGGCTAGTTTTTTGTATTCTTTTTAGTAGAGACGGGGTTTCACCGTGTTAGCCAGGATGGTCTCGATCTGACCTCGTGATCCGCCCGTCTCAGCCTCCCAAAGTGCTGGGATTACAGGCTTGAGCCACCGCGCCTGGCCATCTCCTAGTATATTTTAAGAACCTTTTCTATGACCAAGAAATCCAGTTTTTCAGACTACTATGTCCTAAAGTGTACTTGGAGGTGTAAATTTCTGGATTGTTGTCCTGGCTCTACCACTTCCAATATATAACCTTGGTCAATGACAGAGTTCAAACTGGAAGGTATATAGTTATCCAGTTCTGTTTTTTCTGCATAAATAGGTCATGCATAGGCAAAGTAACTTCCACACATTCAGAAAATGGTTATCTATGATTACAATCTTGATTAAATGCAAATAATAGTCCTGCCTGACCTGCCTACCTGTGGTTTGCAGTGAAAATCAAAAGATGAAACAGATGTGAAAATACTTTGCTAAATGGGAGACTTGTTATTGGAATGAGGAATTATTGTTAGTATTACATTTTTGTTTTGTTTTTCTCTTATAGATAGTAAACTGTAGCAACTAACATTCAACTTCTGTTGTTCCATTTTAGAAAACGTTGTTGTTTATAATCACACTCTACAAACTTTACAAGAAGGGCTCAGCTATTTTTCAGGCTTTGCTAGCCAACCCAGAAGGAAGTGGTCTCCGAATTCAAGACAATAATAATATCTTCCTGTCCTTGGGTCTGCAAGAGAAAATTTTGAAAAAACTTCTGACAGTGGAAAACAAAGTGAAGGACCTAGAAGGGATAATCATTGCTCAAAAACCTGCCACGAAGAGGGATTGTTCCTCTGAGCCCTACTGCAGCTGCTCTGACTGCCAGAGTCCCTTGCCCACATCAGGGTTTACTTCCCCATTTGAAATGTGATGGACTCCAATCTTTTCCAGAAAAGCACCGTTTCCCTCATGTGTGCAGTGGCGTATCAATAAAGATAGAGAACTCTATTGAAATTACCCTGCAAAAACTGGCTCTCTATTTAGTAGCGCTGAACTCTACTTGTATGTATGGTGGGGTAAAGTGGGATACAGTGGTAGTTTAAAATGTCTCTAGGATTGTGGTGTACACTCAGCAGGCTGGAGACCATAAGCTGCCATAGAGGGGAGAGGATAGCTGAGCTGGAATCTAAGGCTGTAGAAAGAGAAGGGAGGGTGGTCAGGTGTATGGCCTTGAGGTCCATGACGACAAGGTTAGACTAAATACAATAAAAAGTAGGGGGTGGGCATGGTGGTTCACGCCTGTAATCCCAGCACTTTGGGAGGCCAAGGCGGGCGGATCACAAGGTCAGGAGGTCAAGACCATCCTGGCTAACACGGTGAAACCCCGTCTCTACTGAAAATACAAAAATTAGCCGGGCATGGTGGCGGGCGCCTGTAGTCCCAGCTACTCAGGAGGCTGAGGTAGGAGAATGGCGTGAACCTGGGAGGCGGAGCTTACAGTGAGTCAAGATAGCACCACTGCGCTCCAGCCTGGGAGACACAGGGAGACTCCCTCTCAAAAAAAAAACCAAAAAACCAAAAAAACAAAAAAAAAAAAAAAGGAGGAAAGTTCTGTTTGAGGGCCCTGCAATGGACTGTCCTTTAGAGGTAGGCTGACCTCTGTGCTGGTCTTTGGCCTAAAGGTATATATGCAGTCCAGGGGTCTCCTGCAATAATTACTCAAAAGTGGGCAAGGGTGGGAGTAGATACAGACTGACATAAAGGAGACTGACTTTATCCAACTTTTACTGATACCTACTCTATGCTAAGCATTGTGATAATCCCTAGGAATCTTTCCTGAGTGCTTCAGTAGCACTCAGTTTGGCTAGACAGACAAGTAATTTCAGACCAGGGAATTATAATACAGTGGGGTCATAGCTTTTTTTTTGAGTCAGAGTCTCGCTCTGTCACCTTATGTCTACAAAAAATCAAAAAAATTAGTTGGGTGTGGTGGTGCATGCCTGCAGTCCCAGCTACTCAGGAGGCTGAAGCAGGAGGGTCACTTGAGCCTAGGAGATTGCTGCAGCAAGCAGCCTGGATGGCACAGTGAGACCTTGTCTAAAAATATATATATATATATTATATTTATATATAAATATTATATACATATTTATATATGTGTTATATATACATATATACATATTTATATTTATATATAAATATTATATAATATATATTATAGAGAGAGAGAGAGAGAGAGAGAAAGAGAGAGCAGGCTCCAAAGTGGCATCTTCCTAAGGGAAGGGTAATCTTGACCATTTGTAATTTCCACCTGATCCACTGGAGTTAAAATGCCACCCCTGGATGAGACTTCCCCGTATCAGGTACTAAATACAAAAACAGGTGGGTGAATACAGGGTGGGGCCAGGAAAGGCTTCGTAAAGGAAGTGATATTGAGGTGTCCCATAAATGATTACATAGGCAGACAAAGAAATGGAAGATATTATTCCCGAGGGGGATCATCATGGAAGTATATATATATATATATATATATATATATATTTTTTTTTTTTTTTTTTTTTTTTGAGACGGAGTCTCGCTCTGTCGCCCAGGCTGGAGTGCAGTGGCCGGATCTCAGCTCACTGCAAGCTCCGCCTCCTGGGTTCACGCCATTCTCCTGCCTCAGCCTCCCGAGTAGCTGGGACTACAGGCGCCCGCCACCTCGCCCGGCTAGTTTTTTGTATTTTTTTTTTTTTAGTAGAGACGGGGTTTCACCGTGTTAGCCAGGATGGTCTCGATCTCCTGACCTCGTGATCCGCCCATCTCGGCCTCCCAAAGTGCTGGGATTACAGGCTTGAGCCACCGCGCCCGGCCGGAAGTATATTTTTATTTTATTATTATTATTTCTTTTTTGAGACAGAGTTTTGCTCTTGTTGCCCAGGCTGGAGTGCAGTGGAGCGATCTCAGCTCACTGCAACCTCTGCCTCCCAGGTTCAAGCGATTCTCCTGCCTCAGCCTCCTGAGTAGCTGGGATTATAGGCGACTGCCACCACACCTGGCTAATTTTTTGTATTTTTAGTAGAGACGGGGTTTCACTGTGTTAGCCAGGATGGTCTCGATCTCCTGACCTCATGATCCACCCGCCTCAGCCTCCCAAAGTGCTGGGATTACAGGTGTGAGCCACCGCGCCCGGCCAAAAACAGAAGGATTTTGAAGAGTAGACTGATGTCAGGTAATGAAGGACCTTGAAGGTCATACCATATAGTTTGGGCTTTATACTGTCAGAAATGGACCATTATAGGGTTTTTGTTTTTGTTCTTTTTTAACAGAGTAACACAGAATTAGTAGCCTATATGAGAGATAGAACGTATGAGCTAGAAAGCAGAATGAGCTAGATGCAAAACAAATAACAGCTGTTCTTGTTAGGGTAAACCAGGCTGGAGTACAGTGGCATGATCTCTGCTCACTACAACCTCCGCCTCCCGGGTTCAAGCAATTCTCCTGCCTCAGCCTCTGAATTATAGGCACCCACTACCATGCCTTTTTTCTTTTTTTTTTTTTTTAAATTATTTATTTTAGATTTGGGGGTACAGGTGCAGGTGTGTTACATGGATATATTGCATGATGCTCTGAGCTTCAACTGAATCTGTCACCCAGGCAGTGAACATAGTATCCAATAGCTATTTTTTGTATTTTTAGGGTTTTGCTATGTTGGCCAGGCTGGTTTCAAACTCCTGGCCTCAAGTGACCCACCCCCCTCGGCCTCCCAAACTGTTAGGATTACAGACGTGAGCCACTATGCCCAGCCAAGGGGGATCATTCTTTTCTTGGGGCCTGAGCACTTATGGCCAGGGCTTTAGTTAAGGGACCTTGAATGTTTGGTAAGCAGAGAATCAAGGCAAGATAGGGGAAAAACTTGAGAGAGCAACTGTATCATATAGCTTAGGGTAGATGGACTACCCTACAGCAATGTCTATCACTCTAGGGATAATCATCTTTATCCTTCAAATTCAGTCATTTTCCTTTATTTATTTATTTATTTATTTATTTATTTGTGAGACGGAGTCTTGCTCTGTTACCCAGGCTGAAGTGCAGTGGTGCAATCTCGGTTCACTGCAAGCTCCGCCTCCCGGGTTCACGCCATTCTCCTGCTTCAGCCTCCTGAGTAGCTGGGACTACAGGTGCCCGCCACCACGCCTGGCTAATTTTTTGTATTTTTAGTAGAGATGGGGTTTCACCGTGTTACCTCATGATCCTCCTGCCTCGGCTTCCCAAAGTGCTGGGATTACAGGTGTGAGCCACCGCGCCCGGCCCCTTTATTTATTTTTATAGAGATGAAGTCTCACTGTGTTGCCTTGGCTGGTCTCGAACTCCTGCACTCAAGCAATTATCCCACCTTGGCCTCCCAAAGAACTGAGATTACAGGTGTGAGTCAACACACCCTGCCAGTCTTTCTCCTTTAGCAAAAGCCTGCCAACAGCCTGTTTTGAGGTTCCCATTTTCAGACTCCACATGGGTCAGCCCTTCTATTAGCACTGTCTTTCTGAAAAGAGAAACAAGTGATTATTCACTTTCCATAACTCACTAGTTCTCCACTGCCACCACATTAGTCTGCACTACCATCTCTCACCTGTTTTTTTTTTTTTTTTTTTTCCTGATATCCTTGGCAACTGCTAAATCATCTGGATTCCTGAAATGGCCTCCCAACTGCACTCCCTCCTTCCATTCCCCATTAAATTTACTCTCCAAGTTGTAGTGAGGATTGTCTGCTGAAAATTCTGCAATGCTCTGCTCAAAATCCTGCAATGGCTTCTTCTTTCATTCTAAGTAAAAGTCTTTTAACTAAAAGACTGCATGATGGCATGGATCTGTACTCCCCGTCTTCCTTACTCTTTCCACAGCTTCTTGCCATTCCTCAGATACGATAAGCACTGGCCAATCTCAGGGCCTTTGCACTTGCTCTTCACTCTGACTGGCAGTTTCCTCAGATATCCACATGGCTTCTTCTCTTACTTTTTTGGGGGGTCTCAAATGCCAGTTAATCTGAGAAGGCTTCCTTGACCAACTTATGTAAAGCAGCACCCCTCACACCAACATGCTGTATTGCCTTTTTACTGCTTTTTCTTCATAGCACTTATCACCACTTCCACTTTTACTTTTTTTTTTTTTTTTTTTTTGAGACGGAGTCTCGCTCTGTCACCCAGGCTGGAGTGCTGTGGCCGGATCTCAGCTCACTGCAAGCTCCGCCTCCCGGGTTCCAGCCATTCTCCTGCCTCAGCCTCCCGAGTAGCTGGGACTACAGGCGCCCGCCACTTCGCCCGGCTAGTTTTTTGTATTTTTTAGTAGAGACGGGGTTTCACCGTGTTAGCCAGGATGGTCTCGATCTCCTGACCTCGTGATCCGCCCGTCTCGGCCTCCCAAAGTGCTGGGATTACAGGCTTGAGCCACCGCACCCGGCCCACTTTTACTATTAAATATTTGCTTATTATTTATAAAACACTGCATCCACCCCAGCTAAGAATGTAAGCTCCAGGAGAGGGGCTTTGGTTCACTGCTATATCCGTGGCACCCGGAAATGCATCTGGCATTTCACAGACATTCAGTATTGATTGAATGAATGAATTCCAGTCAGTCTTGGCTTTTTGAAACCTGGGCCTCCTACTCTCCTATCTCTTCAGACACATGGTGACCGATCAATGCTATGATGCCCCCCTCCCAAGCAGTAGCTAACCTTTATTGGGCACTCAGAGCCATCTACATTGCTAGGAGCTTTACATGAATTTTCTCATTTGATCTTAACAATACAAGAAAGTAAGTACATACTATGTTATTCTCATGTTACTGAGGAGGATCTGATGCACAGACAGATTAAATAACTTGCTAATACATGGTGCAGCCATGGCTGGCAATCAAGCAGCTTGACTCTAAACCTGTGCCCTTAGCCACAAAACTTGGGTGGTAGAAGCTCCTGTGAGGCTTTGGACTCAAAGACAGCTGAAGACAAGAGTGAAGAGGGCATAGCAATGATGGCCTGAGGGA